TTTTTTTTTTTTTTTTTTTTTTTTTAGAATGAACTGAATTTAAGCAATTAAGATGTTCTTTTTTTCTATTTTCTTTGCTATAAAGTTTATACCCTTGAATTAATATGTAGTGAACTAAGTGTCCTAAAAATATACTATTTTCAACACTTGTGCTTTTAAGAGTAAGGCTTCTTTTTAAGTGTAATTGCTTAGGGCTGTATATATTTCACATGCTGGGAATTATGAGGCAACTCCAAACTAAGGAACTGGAGTTTCTGAATATTAAATCCCCTTTTAATAACATGTTCTTACTACAACACTTAAAATGCTTGGCAACCAACAAAAGCCCCATCCAAGAGGGGTGTACTACATCTATTTAAAGATATAAAAGAGTTGCCTTCTGGATTCCATTCAGTGATGTATAAGGGGCCTGACCTCTCCTTTAGTTCTTTTCATATTGCTATTACGTTTCCCATGAATGATTTCCCTCCCCCCAACCCTTTAACTTTTCTAATTTTGTGAAAGAAACCAAGGAGGATTGGCAGCTGGGCACTAGCAGAAAATCTTAAGCCATTTTATTTTACTTTGTAACATACGTTTGGTGTGGTGTGTGTGGGRGAAAAGAAAAAGTAGTGACAGTCTCCAAGCAGTATAGCTGAGAGTAGGAAATAGTCACAGAAAATCATTTATAATCACCTAGCAGTTTGGGTAGAAAAGTGAAAATTATTCACTCATAAACTCATGCTTCAGAGTACTTTAATAATGTAGTTATCAAGATATGAGCACCCCATTTTTCACTGATTAAAACTTTAACACCTGTATCCTCTATAAATATGGAAACATGGAAGTAGCTTGTGATTTCCACATGAGAGGCAACTGGATGCTTTTACCAAAGGATTTTTTGATTTTATCTATTAGCATAGTTTAGATAAGATTTTCTAACAAATACTTCTTTGAGTGAGAATAGGAAGCAGCAAATGTCAAAGTTAATTTTTTTTAAACAGCTTCTTGCCATTGATTTTCGTSTCGCTCACAACTCCAGAGGAGCCTTGCTGCACACAGACTCTATAGGCAGTTTCATGTTTTCTTTTGTTGTAAAGCACAATTCGTGCTTCAGGATATTAGCACAGTCCTGTATGAGAAGGGCAGTGCGGAAGGGTGCTGGTGCACAAAAACCCGCAGAAATGTTGAGATTTAAATGTGTTTTGCTGCACAATAGCTTCCCCTCTAGAACTGGTGCTTGGTGAGGTGGAGGTTAGCRGAGGTGGAAGCTGAGCACCGCTGCTCTCCAGGACTGGCTATAACAGGCCTAATGGATCTCTGAAGCTTTCTTCAAGCTATTTTTATTTCTGCTGAGTAATTTTGCTAAGCTGCTGTTCAGGCAGAGGACTGGAGAAGAGCTTTTCCCATCTCCAACCTTGGCCTCCCTGGCCCGGCGATGTAAGTGCATACTCTGCTCTGAATGGAGATGGGGAGACTTAAGCACATGCTTATAGGCTTTTCTGAATAGGGATAGAAGTAAGCACAGATTGAAGTGCTTTCCTGAACCAGGATCCTCTYGTCCTCTTTGTGTGAATTTTCCCGTGCTTTGAATTCTTTTACTTGGCAGAGACCAGCTGTATGCTCAGTTGAGCAGTCCCTGCTACTGCCGTTCCAGGGACAACTTCTGCCTGAACACGAGGAGCTCTCCAGCATCCAGCTTGCTAACGTGATACTCCTGGTATTCTGTAACTACTGGTGATTTGCAGCTTTGCTGCTCTGTGTGACATTTATTTATTTATTATTTATTGCACTTGTTAAGCTTTCTAAGATTCACCAAGCTTTCTTTAAATAGAAGACAGGAGAATCCTCTTAGGATGACATTTTGTTTTGAATATAATGGCTAAATTCCAGTGACTAATCTTTTTGGAGGGTGGTGTGAGGCAGAGCATAGTATAGTGTATTTTCTGTATGGCCAGGTTCCTTTAAGTTTACCTAACAAAAAGCAAGCAAAGAAAAAATACTCTAAAACTGAACTACTTTTCACTTTCTACTGCTTTGATCCATTTAAATTCCAAAACAATGAAACCAGCAGACTTCTGGAAAGCATTTTTTTTTTTTAATAGAACACTCTATTTAGAGGACAGTTGTTTGGATTGTAACAAAAAACAATCAAATTTCAATCCCCTATTCATAAACCTACAAGACCGCTTGTGTTCGGGGGTCTGCGAGCCAGCTTTCTGCTTGACAGAGAGTAGGACTGTGCAGTRGAACTGCAAATTCTTGGTTTGTTTTTCTTCTCCCTCACCCCCCTCGGGTATAATAGAGGGAGCATAATAGAGAGAAACTCCACAGCAAGGAATGGGAAGAGACCTCCTACTGAGGGGTGCTACTTAGGATACAGATCATTGGCATTTACCAGCCATATAAAAACAATATTTTCCCAAACCCTCTGAGTCTTACTCCACAGTTTATAAAGCGCAAGGATACAAAAGCCAGAAGTTTGGTGCAGTGGATCCAAACAATCCCCTTTTCACGTTCTGGGGTACGTTTGGCATGTTTTAGTAAACCTATTGCTTCATCTTTAATTTTGATCTCTACCTCAATAAAAACCATGCAGCTCTCTTGTGAGATCTCACTTAGGTGCTTACCTGGTACAAAGAATCGTTTCTCGTGGCTGATGTGTTTAAACCTTTAAATAATCTGCATTGTGATGCATCCATCACACTGCTGGTTTGGTGATAATTCCAAAGGCCAAACATGGGACAAACTATTTCCATTGCTTTTTTCTGTTTTTTATATTGTAACCATTTTTCAGAATAAAGAAATGATAAATATAAAATGCAAACAAATATCATTAAAACTTTAAGAATTCATTTTAACGTTTAGAGAACAATATTAGTTGCTTGTGTATGTGATTGATTTGTATTCTGATTAACTTCTGTATTTACAAAAGCACTAATTTCTTAGAACAATATTGAGAAGTAAAGTTCTTAACTGAGCTTAGAATTGAAGTGAGGGATATTAGCTAGTTTCTTAAACGTCTGTGAGAATCTGCATCTAGTAGCAAGCAGTTTTTACACTGAAAGAAAAAGGAATTACAGAATTCCCAAGATCAAAATAAAACTAATGCAAGTAAGTTGCTTTGTGGGAGTCCCTGAGTCAAAGGAAACATCTGGTCCTGTGCTGCCTTAGTGGGACATATGGCACATACTGCAGAGATGTCATCCATCAGAGGCCACAAGTATGGCTGGAAAAGCAGAATTAGTTTTGCTATCTAAAAAGGGAATCTAATTTATACAGCAGTTATTTAAGGGTGGGGGGAGGAAAGAGAGAAAGAAAAGCATGTTAATCAGAAAGATGCTTCTGTCCTTTCTTTCACCTTAAAATAACTTAGGCTTTTGAGAGGCTTCTTGAACATAAGGAATCTGTTCCAGGTACGATTTCTTCTGAGTGAAACAAATTTTGAAGCAGATAATATTATTTTCAGAATAATGGTCCAAAAATGTTTTCATGCATGGAATGATAGGAAATCGTCATGTCTTAGCTTTGTCCAGGCATTACTTTTTTTTTTTTTTTCCCTCCCTTCTCAGTATGAATTTGCATCATTAAGAAAAGTGCTATGGAAAAATAAGCTTCCTTTCTSTTTCCAAACCCTGCAGGTAGTGTGTCCCATGCTGCTAGTCACTAAGTCAATAGTTGTGCCTGTCAAGGGAAGCACATAGCATACAGTTAAACAGAACCTCGGCTCCTCACTAAGAGCCTCTACACAGTGATTTGGGATTTACTTCTTTTTGCCTGTGGGGAGAGAATGCATTTTCTCCTCCTTGGGGCAGGAGAATATTCCCAAGCACTTTTTGTTGTTTCATCAATAACCGTATTAAAAGGGGAGGAAGAGATGTTATCTGTCAGACCCTTTTAGTGTCATAGTGCCTAACTCTGTATAGCCCATACAGAAGACTGCCAGGGATGCTTTTTTTGGATCCTCTTGGAGGGCAGCTTTGCTCTTTAAGCCTCTGCGTAATGGACTCTTAATCCCTGCTATGTTTCCTGCCCCATCAGAGACACTTTAGCTCAGCGTTGATTTTTGTTTACCCTTTTCAACTTAAAAAAACAAACAAACAAAAAAACCCGAAAAACCTCACCAGCCGAACTCTGAGTGTACCAAAGACCCATGAGATACGTGTGAAATGGGCTGCGACCGCTTATAATTTGTAGGCACGATCACGGCGTGCAGGGACGCGCGCGCCGAGGGGCTGGGTGCGCGGCAGCGAGGCCGTCGGCTCCCAAGGCCTCTCTTTGTTAACTTGGAGCAGAAAGGCCRGCGTGTATCCTGCGCAGGATGCTAATGAAGGGCCTGCCAGCAGTAAAATCCCGCTGACCTTTGTGCCTGGTGCTAATTTCCCTCCCCCCTTTGGCGCGGGCCCCGAGCCCGCTCGGCSGTACGGTACAGTAGGGGCCTTGTCCGCGTGGGCTGCCCGCGTGCTGCGCCGCCCCTTGAAGGGGCCTTTGTCGGCCAGGGAGGGCACCGCGCAGAGCCCGCCTCTGCCTCTGCTCATGGCGAATAGCTGGTTTTGCTGGGCGAGCCYGAGCTGCGATGGCTAATGATCCGGGATGGCAGGAGCTGGTGGTTAGAGGAATCCCCTGCTGTACCATGGCTGGGAGGCTGCAATGCAGTGAGGGTAGAGGTGGCCTCTGCGGGCGGCGGGGCTGAGGTGGGTGTCGAGGCCAGGCTGCCGCAGGGAAGAGCCCTGATGCAAAGATAGGTCTGTTTAATTATGGCTCCCAGGTCTTGGTTTGAAGGTTTAAGCTTTAAATTTTGATCTGCTTGGGGAAGAGGGATCGCAAGCGGGTGCTGCTTTGTTGCCACCTTGCTGTTCCCACCTTGTCATCTGYGTGAAAAAAGAACCAGTGTCTGTTGCAGAGCTGTCACTAAAGAGCCAAGGGGGGGTTCAGTTTCAGAACCGAGCAGGGTGGCAGTGTTCAGGTGAAAGGTTTTAATCGTTGGAGTTTGCAAGCCACCACCCTGCCAGATGGGCACAAGGAGCCTCCATTGGGCAGCATGGTCCCTGTGGGACCTCTTGCTGAGGAGCGTGCGATGATTGCACATCCCGCTCTGATGCGCCTGGGTCTTTCCTCTGCAGGCACCGTGAAGGTGAAGAGCTCCAACATACAAGTCGGAGACCTCATCATCGTTGAAAAGGTTTGTTTGTGTGGTCTGGTTGCAAAACACTTTTTACGCAAGCCTGTAGAAACAGGAGTATTTTGCAATCTGTTTGCCTTTGTAATTGGCTCCAAGTATTGAGTGTCAGATACTATGATGTTTAATCCCTTCGCAATTTTTTTTTCTCAACCTTTTTCCTCCATCCTGAAAATCGCATGGCAATCCTTAGAAATGAGAACAAATCTCTACATAAGTAAGCATGCACCCTAAAAGCATCATGATGATAATATTCAAGACAGAAAGAAGGGTGCTCTGCTCAAGTTGCACACTTCCCCCTAGCCAGGGCTTCTTGAAAGGAAAGCAGCATTAGTCTAAAATTCCTTCTTGCCTCTAGGGTTCCTCACTGGCTCTTTGTAAACCTAGACGTTAGCGCGGGCTGGTCAGTAGGAGTTGGCACCGGTTATTGTTCTGCACTTGGGATTCTGCAGGGAGGCGATTTCGGGATTGAAAGCAACATGAATGCCAAGCCCCAGCCYGACAAAGAAATACACATTCTCCTCCCGAGCCCTTTGCCTCGTCACCGTGGGGCTGGGCACGGAGGTCGCACACGCGTGCGGGGCTGCGTGCACAATAATGGCCTTTCTTCTCGCAACAGAACCAGCGGGTCCCTGCTGACATGATCTTCCTGAGGACGTCGGAGAAGAATGGTAAACATCTGGAACCAATTGTCAAAATAGTCATTAACCTTTCACTGGTTGCTTAGAGAAAATTGTCTTTTGGAAATGTGAAAGAAGTAGATAGTCGTTAAATTTTAGGGAGATAGAGAATTTAGCCACTTTACTGGAACATTGCTTCTCATGTTGCTATACCCTGATTTTTGTTTAACTAAAGAATGTAGATAGTTGGATTTGATGGCTCGCACTGTTGATGTAAATCATTTTACTTGCCATTCAGGTTTGTTTTGTTAAGTATGAGATAAGGAAGTTTTTGATCAGAAGATTTAGAGAAATATAGACTAATGAGAATATTTCAAATATTTTAAGGATATAATGCAGCATCTCATTGTATCCAGACTGTTGGAAGGAACTGTGTGTGTGATGCAAGAATGACRTTATTTTCATTCTTACATCATTAACAAATATTTAAATCAGATGCTGTTTCAGGGGAAGAAAAGTGTCCTAGCTATGAAGCAATTTCATGAGTTATTGATGTTCCTAAGATGCATCTAGAGGGAACACTAATTGCTGTTGGAAATCTACAGGATCTTGCTTCTTGCGCACCGATCAACTGGATGGTGAGACGGACTGGAAACTGCGCCTACCTGTGACCTGCACCCAGAGGCTGCCAACTGCTTCTGTAAGCTGTGTTCTTACAAAATACTTTATTGCTAAATAAGCATATATGAATTATCTGCAAATGTTCAGTTCCTTCAGCTAACCAGCTGTTTGAGGAACTGGTTAATTTAGAATCATTTTGCACATAACCTCCATCAAACACTGTGCCAAGATCCTCTAGCAAATGAGTTTGCATGTTCAAAGACAGAAAACAAAGAGAATGTGAATACCTGAGAGTTTTTTAAATTCTCCCTAAGAAACACGCAGTAAGTTTATTGGATACTTGGAAGTATTTGGAAGTAATATTTGGAAGAAGGACACCCACTAGTAATGGAGTGAACAGTTTCTACATGTTGAGGAGTCAGGAGTGAAAGCCCTGTGCAGAATAGACGTATCTTATCATTTGTACTAAAAAGCAGAGAGAGTCATTGGCTGTCTGGATTATTCAGGATGAGACTTTTTTACGGGGCACCAGCTAGTAAGCAACTCCCAGCAGTCTGCGTGGTGCCACTTCAAAAAATAGYCTTAGAAAGATCCCCTCAGTGAAGCTGGGATTATATTGAGTTTTCTCCTAGTTGAAGAGTAGGTTTCTGGGAAGTAATATGATTTGATAATTATCATAATTTGATTAAGTAGCTCTGGTTGAAATATTTTGATGGAAAATTTGTATGTCATTAAAATGTCTAACCATCTGCTAAAAGATGTCTATTTTATAGGACCTGCTTCAGATCCGATCCTATGTGTATGCAGAAGAGCCTAATATTGATATACATAATTTTGTGGGGACCTTCACAAGGGTGAGTCTTCCTGATATGTCTTTTAAATAATGTGGATAATGTTTACAGTGCAAACCTTTGGGAAGTTTCCAGCACACAATTTTCAGACAGTTTCAGGACAGATAGAGAAGGGTCGCAATTTCTCAAGCTTTTTTTTTTTTCCCTTTTTCTTCATAAAAAATCATACATAAATTAAACCTGAAAGAAATACATGGTTATTGGAGCTTTGATTTGAAGATAATGTCATAAACTGTTCAGGATAAAGGACCATGTTCTCAAGATACTGGATCAGAATATATAGATCAAGTGTGGCAGTATGTAATGATTGTGACTGTTCAGAAGGACTACCACAGACTCAAGGATTAAAATAGTTTTCCCAGCTGTGAAARGTGGGGGATCTTTTCTAGGTGAGGCAATAGCACTCTTGATTGTAGGTCAGGTGTTTTTGTGCTTTGAATTGCATGCAGCCCRTGTGAGCTCAGTTATAAATGCCTTCTAAGAGGGCAGAGGCACAGAGCTGCTCTAAAGGGCCACTGTTTAAAAAAGTATTTTGACTTGATGGGGAGATGCACTGCTTATTTGGGGCAAAAAGGTTTTTCTCTTTTTATTTTTCTCTCTTCTTCCTGGGACTATGAAAATTCTGAGATGCATCTAAATCCTTCAGGGAGCTTTCAGAAAACACGTGCTTGGGTAGCAAAGAGGAGATGGTGCTTTTTAGAATCTATGTGCTGATATTTCAGTTGAAAACTGATTTTTGAGTTTGCCCTCTTATCTTTACAAAGTGTGGCTAATCTGATTTAATAGGAACTAGTGCTGCCAAGGAAGGGGCGTGTGTAGCTGGGGAGGCAGGTTTTTATTAAACCTGAGCGGRCATTAATTTACTTTCTCAGGCAGAGGTGCTATTCTGTAGAATTAACCACCTGAGAGGAATGACATTTTCTTATAACTTTTCTTCCTTGGTGCATGTCAGATGCCTTTCCAGTGATCGCTGAGCATGGCAGCAGTTTCTCAGTGAGATCTTGTGTAGAAAGAGAAACACTTGTAAGCTGCATGAACCCACTGAGAAGAACATTTTATTGCAACCCCAGGAGAGTTTCTGCCAAATCCCTTTCTCATTTATAATTCCCAGAGGTGTTCAGTAGGAAGAGATATTTTAATAGATTTATTTTTCAACCTTTCCACTACGCTGAAACAAAGTGCTTGTGTTCTTAACTAGAGATTTAACAAGGTTTGTGAAAATTCTCCATCTTATACAAGAAGCCCACTACCAGCTCCCCCCAGTATCTCTATCCACTTATATGTAACTCTATCATAAACTACTCTTTTTCTCTTTTTAAATTGCTGACTGGTTTGGGACTTTTTTTCCCATGTTGTAGGAGGACAGTGACCCTTCAGTGAATGAAAGTTTAAGCATAGAAAACACCCTATGGGCCAGCACAGTGATTGCATCAGGTAAGACACAGGCATGTGTAATTTTTTTAAGGGAGTATGTTAGCAATTTTTAAAGGTCTTTTGGTAATGGAATAATGATCTCTGTCAGTTAGAGAAATTAGCTGTTCGAATGAAGTTTCCCACTTGTCCTAACACCTCTGGGGAACTGAGTTGACTTCTAATTGCCTCATGGACATTCTTAGATGAGAAGGAATTGGAGTGGCCTTTGGGCACTTCTCTAGTATCTTTCACGAGAATAGCACTTAATTGCCTTCCACAYTGACACTCTAATCTGTAACAGAAATGGTGTCAAATAGATGCTGGTAACAGAAGCTAAGATGAAAGATCTCCAGGTAAGTGCTTCCAAAGAGTTCTAGTCTTGTATACTTTGGAAAAGGACAAAAATAATTTTTTTGACTGATTTTGGTCTCTCTATCTAATGAAATTGCAAGGCACAAGGTTAATTAATGTTCAGGCTTGCTTTATTTTGATAAAAGCCTTGYTTCTGTGTGGTGTGCAAGGTTTGCGGGACGGTAACAGGAAGAGCAAGAAGTTCTATAATATGGTTCTTGGATTAAAGTTACYGAGTGGAGAGGTTTCACCGTGCAGTAGCAACCTGTATATGGAGTTATTAATGGGAATTTCTAAAGATTCTGTGAAGCACTGAAAAATTTTTATTTGCCATTTTGGTGGAAGAAAACGCTGAATAAATTTTGTTCCTGCACGTCTCCATCTGATTCTACTAACTCTTCTTTAAAAGGTATTATAGTGCTATCACAGTGGTTTGACCGAAGGATCATAAAAATCTAGATGTCCAAATATAATTTAGTCAAGCAAGTATTTTATAGATCAGTAATTGTCATGTGGTAGGTAACTTATCTTCATTTCCCTGCCCTGCAGCTTTAAAAACCAAAATAAGGAAAGTCATTTTGCATTTTTATTGTGATTCCACCCCATTCTTTCTCTTTTATTGAAGATTTAATTCATACCAGCTCTTAATTCATAAAACCTATGTGTTGATCTTCCCATGGCACTGCAGTGGTGTGGCTGAATTTTAGACATGAGGCTGTGTTACACTGAACTGTCTCACTAAAACTACTGGAAAATGTCGCTTGCCATCAGCACGATCTCACTCAGTGGTTGTGTAGGGTTTGAGCTGTTCCTCTGCCCATCGTTGGACATACGTTGTGTGTGTGCATGTCCGTGCACAGGCACTTTTCCAAATGCAGGGCACAGCTCACGCTCTGCTCTACCTCCTTAGTTTGCTCTTTTAGGGTCCTTTAGGAACCTTGACTGGCACTGCTGCATCAYGATGTCTATAAACACATGCAAAGACCTGCTCTTTGCCCAAATGAACTTGTCTTTTGAATCTGTTCTTCCCTCTGAATATAAACAAGGTTATTGGTGGGACACCTTTGTGGGCTCAGATAATATGAATAACATTTGCAAATATTTTTGTCTGTCAGAATGGCTTATATAATGCAGTCTGGTTTGGATATTCCTAAATCAATTAGAAACTCTTTTTGTGCATACTGCTGTGCCTTCAAGCTATTTTCTAGCTCTGATAGCTTTTTTATCCTCATTTTGATGTATTTGATCAACAGAATCGTCTGTTTTGTTTATCCTGTGGTAATAAATATACTGCATGCATGCATGTTGGAGGCTATTTCTGTACAGAAAATCTCCTGCTTATGAAAAAACGTGGATATTATTTTCCTGCTGCAAGTGGAAGCTGTCAAGTTGTGCTGATGCCATCTCGCTGGGGCAGCCTTTACCTGAAGATGAAACAGAGCTAGGTGGCTTTCTCCATCTGCTGCCGTAGTAGGAGCAGGTCTAACTCTGCTCGTCTGCGGCTGATTCGGAGTCGCTGTGCCATCTGCTGATTCGCGTTGCAGGGATCTTGCCACCTTCTGCCATCTGGCTCCAGAGATTTGTTGGTTTTTTTTTTTTTTTTTTTAAGAGAATGCTTCCCAGCATGTTTTTAGAAACCACCTCTTTTGAATTAGTCCTATTTAAAAATAATTCGCTTGCAGCTTGTTAAAACCTTGGTCATTAATAGGAGCAGGGGAATAGCAGAGTATAAAATGGCAATGTATTTCCAGCAGTGCACTTCTTTTAAGTGTTGTTTTTCCTCATTTTTACAGACCCTAAAATTTTCTAGTAGAAACTTGGACCTCAGCAATAACAGCTTTCAAACTTCTGACAGTAACSAACTTTTTGTTAGCAGTCTTTTGCCAAGTCTTTAGGAGAAACCTGTAGAAAAACAGTGGCTTATAGTGCTAAATTGTATTATGTGTCTGCAGGAAGAAAAGGGAGAGCTTTGTAGCTCTTAGCTCTCTAGAAACTGTGGGATGCAGCATTAAAATTTACTGACAGGTTCCCAGCAGCTCCATCTGTTGCAGKAAGGTAGCGGTTAGCATGACTCACCTTTTGGTGTGAACAGCTACTGGACAAATAGTTTATGCTGAATTAAGCATAATAATAAATTTGAATAAAATAAAGTAAATCTGCCTTTAAAAGATGATGAAAATCATTGATTTTGTTCTGATTTGTAGCAACCTTCCCCAGTAGGGAAGAACCGTAGCCCAGAGCACTGATTTAATTTTGACACACTTAAAATGTAATGGAGACTTCGATCTCTTTTCACAACCAGACCAATTGGACATAGGTTAATGCCTGAGTAATTTCACAGTTTTACTCATTATTAGATCTTGCTGTTGGTTTGTAAATGGAGAGCAGAAGGAGGMTTACCATGCAATGGTGAGGAGCACTAAACATGAACCAGTGTCTTAAACAAGCAGCAGTTTGTACGTAGATGTACCCAAGGCCAGTGGTGAAGTTCAGTTGGATGTATCTCAATAAACACTTTCCCTAGTTCACAAAATCATAGAATGAGGTTGGAAGGSACCTCTAAAAAMCAGCTAATCCAACCCTCCTTCCTCAAGCAGGGACACCTGGATTGGTGCCTGTCCTTACCATTCTGTGCAGATATAGCACCTTGATGGTTGGGCACTGCTGCTGCGTGGTGCTCATGGATGCTWGCAGAGCTGATTGTGATGCTGCTTACGTGCTGTCCAAGCTAGCTGGTAATATCTTGCAGCTCAKGGCAGAGTAGGTGGAGAATTACTGTTTGGTATAAAGCAAATTTAYAAATACATATATGCAATTTAAGTGGTGGGAGGAAAAACTTGAAATCTTTCCTTCTTTCCAGCTTTTATTTATAGTGGGAGATACAACTGACATCCAAAGGGTGCCAGGGAAAGGTGAGAGAGCAGAGGTGTTGACTTCTCTTTCCATGCTTATCAGTTGATGTGGTGTCACGTCAAGTATGGGCAATGTGGTTGCAATCTGCTGACTTCTTGTAGGACGCCTTGTGTTCAAGTCTGTGTTCCTGGGCTTTATTTTGCAAGAAGCTATTTCTTTAGGCCCTGGTTGTTACTGCTTCTGCAATTAAGCWGCTAGAAAACTGCCCTACGTGTTGAGCCTATGGATACAACAACGAGCCTCTGAGCCACTTCAGAGAAAAAAGAAACTGAAGTTGTTCTTTCTAGATGATGCAGGTGCTGTTTTGTTTAGGTACTGTTGTGGGAGTTGTTCTCTACACTGGAAGGGAGCTGCGCAGTGTGATGAATACTTCAAACCCAAGAAGTAAGGTATGGTAAGGAAGCAGAGCCTTATACTAAATAAAAGAGAAATTTATACTAATAATTATAATAAAAACTTCCAACCACCTTCCAAGTGATAAGTGTATGTGCTACAGGGACAACATCATATGAATATTAATCAACTTCCAAGAAATAAATTTTTCAATCCTACTCTATTTGTGTTTTGTTTCTTTTTTTAATCAGCAAAATTGTTATTTTAGACAGTAATATATATATACATGCATTTTTTGGCATTCTTTTTCTCTAGGAAGGTTGAGAGAAGGGATTTTTACAGCATGCAGCTTTTGACACCATGAGTTGGTGCATTGCTCTCCATGTATTTCTCAGAGGATGGAAATCTCATTTACTGATSTGACAACATTTTGAAAATTTGTAATCTTTTCAATAAAGAGAAGCTGCTTATTATTTGGGAATGACTCTTTGGACATGAGAATTTGTTTTTGTTGATATTTCCTTGAGCTTGYATCTTCCCTTCTGTGATTGAGGTATCTGCTTGATTTGCTTAGATTGGCCTCTTTGACTTGGAAGTGAACTGTCTCACCAAAATTCTGTTTGGGGCTCTCGTGGTAGTCTCCCTTGTCATGGTGGCCCTTCAGCACTTTGCTGGCCGTTGGTATCTTCAGATCATAAGATTTCTTCTTCTCTTCTCAAACATCATTCCAATCAGGTAAGGTTCTTGTTATTTTTTCCCAGGAAAACGTTGCTGCTTTTACATATTCCTCCACGTTTCTTACACAAATAGACATTTAAATTCTTACCAGTTCTTCATTTGGCAACTGAGCAAATTCAGAAATAGAAATCTGATTACTGTTTAAACTAAGAATTGCTTGTTTTTTTCTGCTAAATTCATCTAGCACATTAGCCTGTTTGCTGTCTCTGCTCTGTAACTTAGGCTGTAGCTTAGTTATTTAAGAAAGTAACAGCTTGGTTTTCCCCATGGTGCAAATGCTTTGGTAGAATTAGCAATAGACAGACTTGTAGAGGCTTTGTAGCTCCCACAGAATGTGATGCCAGGGGAAAATGAGTGCAAAAATGAGACTGGAATAGCTTTAGAAAGAATAGACCATAGTGCCTGTTGCGGGCAGACCTTTTTCACTGTAAAGGTCAGCTGGTTTCTGTGAGAAGCGTAAAATTTGACAGTATATACAGTACTGCAATATTCTATGTTATATAGTATAAGCATTTATCCTGCCTTGATTTATACTGTCTTTATATTGTCTTTGATAGGATATGACAATTGTAATGCTTAATTACACTGTACTCATTCAGATTGTTAATTTCAGTCTAGGTCTGAGATTAGTTTCAGTTCCATTTTTAACCTGCTGCCTGATCATCAGTCATACTGTCTTCTCTTACACATGTCCATCTTCCTCTCAAATTATATGTTATCAACAAGCATATATCTTGTCATTTCTTTGATGACTATCACTGGGGCAATGTTCAGCTCTTCCCTCTGTGCCACTGGGCCACTCACTTTGAATGTATTTCTCCCTCAACAACCTGTTTGGCCGCTCCATTTCAGTATGCAAGACCTGTCCTTTATTACACTGTGGAAGTTCATGATGGTTTTATCCAAAGATATGTTTTGTTTTTCCCTTTTCCCTTTCTCCTGTGTAGTTTACGTGTGAATCTGGACATGGGTAAAATTGTCTACAGCTGGGTGATCCGCAGAGATTCCAAAATCCCTGGCACGGTCGTTCGATCCAGCACCATTCCAGAGCAGCTGGGGCGGATATCCTATGTGCTCACAGACAAAACGGGTATGTATCCAGAGAACACGGTTTGGAGTCAAGGGAAGATCTTCCTCTCTTCAAGTTGTTCCCAGAAATTTTCTTTGGCTCCAACAGCACCAAAACTGGGCCCACACATTCTTAGTTGCATTGAATTTGGGGTGAATAACCTCATTTTCCCAGCTCTAGTGAAGTGCAGCACTGTTTGCTAGGAGAACCTRCCCTCAAGTTCATGAGTGCTGATGTTTCCCCAGGTCTCACCCTGCGCTGAGAGCTCAGCACAGTGACCAGTTACAATCCTGGCCCAGTGTCTCTTTGATCTGGGGTGCAGTAAGGGACTGGGGAATAACGTGGTAGTTAATACTCAAGATCTGGTGCTGCTTTGGTTACAGGAACCCTTACGCAGAATGAGATGGTTTTCAAAAGGCTTCACCTGGGGACAGTAGCTTATGGACTGGACTCTATGGACGAAGTGCAGAGCCACATATTCAGTATATACACACAGGTAAAATTAAATTGGTTTACCTAACTYCGTGTTCACGAAATAGTTTTCGAGGTCACTGGGTTACTATTGAATTAATGTGACAGGGCCTGGCTATTAGATTTTTCTTTCTGGAAAAGTATGAAGGTCACTGCATGCTTAGCACAAATACTATCACAATTGTTTATTGTATTTGTAGATTGTTTCCACATCTAACAGCTTCAGCTGCTGGCTTTGGGAGGGACTTGTTAGTTGTTTGAGTTTCTCTGTAAAATGTGATTCCACAGATGCAATCTGCAGTGCTTAGTCATGRGTTAGTATTTACATTTTGTAAGCCAAGCATTTTCAATTCTTAATGCTTGTGGAATTGCTTCATTCCTACAGTTACTAGAGAGATAGTTTACAAAGTGCTTGTGCTTTTCCTTCAACAAATGCATTCAGGATGGTAGACTGGATTTTACAAATCACATTGTTTTTGTTTTGCTCCAGAGACTTTAGATTTCAGTGCCCTTTCTGTGCTTCCTACACTAAAACATGAATCTTACACTGTTACCTAGGCCCTTTTTTGGGGATTTTGTTCATGGTGGTAGAGAAGATTCACAGCAATTTTCCTTGAACTCTGTAATCTTGTGCTCTGGCTTTTCCCCAGTTGGACTGGTCAGGCTGTGATCTATTTTTAACTAAGCATAAGGTAATGACTCAAAATACCAGATATTTATCAGTTACCTTCTTCACTGGCATGTGTCTCAGGTAGCATTTTCCAACAACRCAGTCTTTGTGTGAATCGTGAGACTAACTAGCTAAGACATCTCTTTCTTCTACCTCTGCRTTCACAGCCTTCGTAGTGACTGCTGCTTTTCCTCGTGTTGAGACCTCAGAATAACTGAATTGTACATTTACTGTGTAAAACAGACTTCGGATCGAGTTGCCCCCATTTATGGGTTCAGTTTCCAGAGGGCAGAAAACTTGACTAGTTGTTAATTACTTTCCAAAATATTCAGTATTTGTCAAGGACATGTTAAATGGGACCAAGGCCGCTGTGTAAATAGTGCTGTGTGTCAATTTAAGTGCACTTCTGTCATGAGTTTACTGTTTTATGTTTTGGTTAAAGACCTGTCACAATATTGCTGCTCATCATTACTGTTATTTTGGAACATCTTAYGTGTCTTAATCACTAGAATTTGAAAAGATAGCATTTCATTTTGTGGAATTAATATTGGTAAAGAGTCTATCTCATAAAGCATTTGTTAAGACAAAGCTCAGTTCCTTATAATGAGAAGCATTTGCTGGCAACGATTCATTTTGAACTGTAGTTCGTATTCTTTACTCTTATTTTTACCATGTTGTGGCCTTTGACCTGGAAGTGAAACTTTTGTCCTCTTGACACTAAAGGTTAACAGAGCAGGAAACTAGATCACTGTGTGTCCCCTCTTCTACCAGGATAATTTAGTAATTGTGCAATTATCTGAGAAGTCYCATTCTGATACTAAAAATAGTATAAAAAATTAAATGAATGCAATTAAGATTTTCTAGATCCATACAAGACATCTGTTTTCTGTTATCAGCAATTATATGCACTTACATGTGAAAACCCAGTTGACTCTCAATTTCCAGAGCCGTTGGTCTTTTGTGGGGTGATGAGTAGTTTCACTGGGTCTTGTGAGACTTTGGTCTTTCATCCATCATCGTTTTGTGGATCTGCAACAGTGGGTTATTTTCTTCATGTACTGCTCAAGCTTGGATAAATCTTTTGGGGTGCTTTCCTCCACCCAGAATGCTGTTGCGTTAGGCTGGGGAGCGTTCCTGAGATAGTAGCACAAAGGTGCACAGAGTCCACCTCTATCCAAGGGACATAAGAGTCTTTATCTACTTATTTGGTCTTCATGGAAGCAAGTAAAATCCATTTTACTAAGAGTCTCTTCTGCTTTTCTATAAGCAATCTCAGGACCCGCCTGCTCTGAAAGGTGTCACCTTAGCCACCAAGGTGCGAAAAACCATGAGCAGCCGCGTGCACGAGGCGGTGAAGGCCATTGCCCTGTGCCACAACGTCACTCCRGTGTACGAGTCCAACGGCGTGACGGACCAGGCTGAGGCCGAGAGGCACTATGAGGATTCCTGCAGGGTGTACCAGGCTTCCAGCCCTGATGAGGTCAGTATCCTTGTTGATAAAAACGTAATTTCAGTTTCCCTGTTGCACAAAAAAATACAAAACAAAAAAAACTTTGAAAATACTTCATGTTGGTCTTAGCTGCAAGTTTTATAATGCAGCCAAGGTAGAACAATTAGTTTTCTATTAATTTCTATAATTTTACTTGCTTGTCACCATTAAGAAACATGAAACTTTCCTTAAGAATCCTATCAATGATATACTGAGATTGTGTCACCAATTTGTCTGCATTTCAAGGCTTTTTTTCATTTATTGCTCCAAACAAACAGACTTGCCTCTGGTGGTAATCTTTTACCTTCAGCACCAGAAGAGAAGCTGGCTTTCCTCCTTGTGAGAGGTGGGAATTATTTGCATAGGAATCTGTTTAAAGTCCTCAAATAGCACATAGTCCTGAGATTGCACATTTTCTATTACTACTACTAACAATTGCCATGCAGAGATAGGTCCCGATTTCACTTACCACTTAAAATATTCCCAATACTTTATTTTCAAACACACAATTAATTCCTTTTTTATAATATCTTCATGTCTGAGTTACATGAGAGCTGCTTCTTGGCCGTTTTTCCCCCTCCATAGATGTGCCTACAGCAGCAACGAACACTTCTCTGGTTTTACAGCTAACATATGATGTATGCGTGTGTCCGTCCTCACRCTCTAATCCAGCTCTGTCGTGCTTACCTGCTTTCCTTCTTTACTATGTTCCCCTTTCCCATAAAGGCAGCTTTACAGAAAGCAACTGCCTTTGGATTGAAATGAGATCTGAATGATTTCCAGATGGTAATTTTTGTGATCTGGATTAAAGGTTGTGGATATTTTTTGTTAGTTTTGTTTTTTTTCCTCTCCCATAATGCATATACAATTTATACACAGATCTTCTGTTTATTTAATTGTATACTGTGGTATATAGTGAAATGAGTGATTTTACTTTTCCTTTTTTTTTTCTTTATGTTATTTTGTCTTTCAGATATTTACACAGCAATTTGTCTGAAATGCCTAGAGTTTTATTGTTTGTTTTGCTATAACTTGATAACTAATTCTTCCAAGATTATTGTTTAAATTCTTTTTTTCTTTCTTGTAATAACTTAAGTAGAGAATTCCAGCAGATTCAGAAATCGGATATGCTTTGCTGCACTGAGGACATCTTGTCTGTAACTCTTAGATATACAAATATTGTTTAGACATGCTCTGTGTGTGTCATATTAGATGGTACAAAATGCAGGGTCAGCACAAACGGAGTCCTGGAGACGAGAGCGGTGCCGTTAAATAACGTTCCCTGTAGGGGAATGGCTTTGGACTCCTGTTAAAGCCAGCCTTTGAAATCCTATATCAATAAAATATTGCCATGGCAGGGAAGGTCAGTTTATGAAATGAGTACAAAAACTCGTATTCTTTTTGCTCTAACAGCAAGGGTAATTTCTACCAGTTGGCATARGATTCATTTCCTGTAACAGAAAGCAGGATTTCCTAAATTTGTTTCCTGTGCATGCTGCCATTTAGAGCTCTTGAAGTATCTTTATTCAGGTATCAGTTACAGCCTTGGGGCTCTGCAAGCGTGTCAGTTGTAGCCATACAGTAACTAACAGGGGAAATGAAATAGATATAATCTGATGGGAGATAAGAGYGCCTGGGATTCCCGGGCAAACAGTCTTTAACCCCCACAATGTCCCGCAGCTGCCAGGACATGAAAGGGTGCAGCGAGCGAGCAGCTTCTGCCTGTCGTCGGCCGCCCTAAATGGGACATTTGTCGAGCAGCTCATAACACAGAAGGATCAATTTGTCTCTTTAGAATGAAATTTATTAGTCGATATCCATTTCAGTGGTGGCTGGGGTAATTTAATTGTCAARTGAAGTTTGGGGGAGATGATGCCAAGCTGCGCTCGCCGCTCGGCTCCGCTGCGCCTGCCCCGGCTCCGGGAATGCAGCAAGGACGTGAATTATCTCTGCTCGTTGGTGAGCGAGGGGTCTCTGGATGTGCGAGGGGCTTCAAGCCTGCTCAAACCTTGTTCATTTAAGCTGTAAAAATATTTATTCATTGCGAATGTTCCTTCTGTTGTGCCTGGGAGCCTATACCATTTGCTTACCTGTTTAAGCGGTGCAGAGCAAACACAGTTTTGGACTGTCTAAAAATGTCCCCTCGTGCAAGGGTTCCCCAGCCTGCCACAACCAGGCTGCGCTTTGCTGCAGTCACTGGTTGCGGGCACAGGGGTGCTTTCTAGAGGCAAGGTCCTGTTGTGTCACATGTTGAATAGGGATGGCCATTGAAACGCTTTTAGTAGATCTGATAAACACTTCCAAATGGCATCACGTTTCCCCCGCAGTAGTTATTCATCGAGTACTACAGAGGCTGCAGAGGTGAGGGCACCAGCAGTGCTTCATCTGAGCTGCTGCTGGATGCTGCTCAGCTGGAGGGCCATCAGAGGCTGGAAGAAGTGCTGTGGGAGTTACAGACTGGCAAGTGGGGAGTTTTTCATTATCCCCCCCACCTTCTGCTTTTGGAGACTTAGTGCCATCCAACACAAGCAGCRTCGTGCAATGAAATGTGAGGTATATTGCGGGCATGTGACATAGCACGTGTTGTGAAGTCCTCTCCCGCTTGTTACTCTGCTCAAAGCTTTTCTTTTGGGAGATTTAAATACATCTTGACATGGGATTTAAATAAGATGCCCAACAGGGACAGGGAGAGGAGATGTTTGTCAAAGACTGTAGTAAAAGATGCTTTAATAGGCCAAGTTGGGAGCAGAGATTTGTCCATGCCCTGATTTAAGGGCATGGATGCTCAAACATCTAGTGCTGTGTGTGCTCAACAAATGCTCGTGTGACATCACGCTGTGAAGGACTCTCACCAATTATTTATTATCCAGAGTAGCAGAAGCATCTCTGCTCTGGAAAACTGCTAGGAGGAATTGCTAAATATGCACCTTCTTAGTCTAAGCGTGTTTTCAAGAAACCTTGGAGAAATATAAGCTTGGAAGATTCTATGACATTTGTTCTAACCTTTGAAAATATGTCTGCATATTAATATGTTAATATTAACAGACTTAAAGTTCTTTTAGAGAAAAGCCAAATCAACTATTTTCTGATGATTTAAGACTGTCTCAAGAAATAAAAAGTCCATTATAGGTCTGTCCATTAAACTGGAGCATGATAGAAATATCCTTTTTTTATTGAAGAATGTAAACTGGTAATGTCTTAGGGAAGGACACAAGAGATGATGAGATTAATCTGGAAGGTGACTTACTCTGMTGTATGTTAGTGTTTCTGGCTTTGATACTTGTAAATGCAGGGTTGAACGCAAAGTTTTTCATTTGAAGTTTCATAGAGAGCAATCTGAAGGAACACGGTCAGAAAGTAAGTGTTATTTATTTATACAGAATTTCCCAAACCTAAGTTTGGTATCTCCAGGTTTGTGCAGAGGGTGCCTCTGCCTTCCCTTGCCAAGGGGTTTCCCTTCGGGACCGTGTAGCTGACGGAGGGCAGGCAGTGACCAGAGCACGTGGGCACCAAGTGCACGACGAGGGACTGAGGCTCAATGTCCTCGCCCCGAAGCGGTCCGTTCTGTTGGGAGGTTTGGACTGGCCCCACGTGCTGTATTCCAAGCCACGGTTTGAGTGCTGGGGCTAAGCTGGTGTTTGGCTTTTCCTGCTCATGAATGTGAACAGCTTTAGCCTGTGATAAAGCACAAGTTTCAGAATAGGGTTACATATTAATGGTTTAGTCAAAGCATTACAGTAGCTGTTTCAAAGATTGCCAAGGTAAAGAAGTATTCAGCCCTGTGAGGAATAAACTGAATACTTCCTTGTGCTTTACAAGAAGTTAAATGCTACAAATAATTATGGTTATACAAATGGAAACAAAGATAAACAAACCTTTCAATGAGCCTACAAAGTGAGTAAGCCAGGAAACTAAAGCTTTTATTTATTTTTTTTACATACGTAGACACCTCTCGAGTGCTGAGTTGTCACGTGGCGCTCAGGGTTGGCCATGGACACCTGGTTCTCTTCCACCAACCTCTCTTCCTCCAGATGTGGTGATGCTCGTGGTGGCCTGTCCCATGGGTTTGGTGCTGGAGCTGCTGCCATGTTCGAGTTGGCTCCTCCACCAACGTTATTTTGCGTTTTGTGTTGTTCAGCTGACCAAAGTGGACGTGGTGGCCTGTGCCGTAGGTTGCACGGTCTGTAAACCCTTCCCTCGCCAGAGGGAAGCTCCATCAGGGCTGGGCCTTAGGGAAAACCCTTGGGAAAAATGCGCTGAAGGGATCACTTGTTCTCATCACATGATCGAGGTAGGAATTGGATCTGCTTCATCGTGCCCTTAGTGACTGAGGAACCTCTTTTGCAGCTCCAACCCGCTGTCCCTTCCCTCGTGGCGCTCCCTGCCCTGACCTCTGCCCGCAGCCCCAGCGGTCGCCTGACCTCTCGCCCTGCTTSCCTTTAGGTGGCCCTGGTGCAGTGGACGGAGAGCGTGGGCTTAACGCTGGTGGGCAGAGACCAGTCCTCTGTGCAGCTGAGGACACCGGGCGGCCAGATACTGAACTTCACCATCCTCCAGATCTTCCCCTTCACTTACGAGAGCAAACGGATGGGAATCATCGTTCGGGTGAGTGGCTGCAGAAACATCTCTGTGCATCTCCAGCAACCAGAGGGTGGGACAACTTGTCAGTAGCTCATGTCTCTTAAGAGACAACTTGTTCTCCTTGCCCATGTTGTGCCACACGTGCTGTTAGGTGTCCTGTGGCACCCCTCGTGCTGCACAGTCGGGCACTAGGGAAGGATCAAGTAATGCTGAGCAATGCAGTGCTTGTGTTCAACAGCAAGAATGAAGAACTTCAGTGTTAAAAGTGGATAAAAGTGGAGCYGTAATGGGTGCCTGGAGTACAACTTTTTGTCACTATGAATGGCAATCTGTGTTCAGCACAAACTGAAATGGCTAAAGCTCATGCACCTGTGCATTGCCAGCCTCCGTCTCCTGTTGCTCAGGGACAGAATGATTTTACATTTTGGAGCAGAGGCTGCAGGATGGTGCAGGAGGACAAATCTCTACCTGACGTTGTTTCATACTTTGAAATACTGATCTCTGCCCARAGGCAGGAGTGTTAGGTGAAGGGGGCTGTCAGGATGAGCTTGTGCAGAGTAACCAGAGTGTCAAATCTGGGTCTGGATCCCTGGAGAAGGGACTGAGTGTCTGTGAACACAGGGGGGTTCACAGAGGGAACATGCAGGTGTATTTTCTTCAGCTAGATTATTTTTTATTGTGAAAGCAACTTTAGACTTTTAAAGACTATTAGCAATAGAGGAGGGAAGATTAAGCAATTTCCATCTCTATTGCATAGCATAAGCTTATAGCCATATKCATGTAGCTTTCGGTGAGATAATGTTTTTTTAAAGGTGCTTTAAAAAGAAAAAAAAAAATGGGGGTGATGGGAGTGGATAACAATCTCAACAGTTGCACATTTCCTTAAACTGTGTTCATATGCTCAGCAGAGAAACAAATGCCCTGAACTTTATTTTAATCCATCTGGAAAACTGCAGAGGAGATGTTGCTGGGCATCTTTTTTTCTCTTTTTTTTTTCTCTTTTTTTTTCCTTCCTTCCTCATACAACAGTGTGACAAACGAGTGATTTGAAGGTGCTGTATTTTTCAAAAATAGATAGCTATATTCTTCCACTTTCAGAAGGAAAAGGTTTCTGATGTACATTTCTGTATTTGGCCTAGTGTTAATGATGGAAATGGTAAAACTCCCACTGGTGGTCACTGGGAGCTAAATCAGGCCCCAGATGATGAGCGTCTAAGACAGTGATTTTTCTTGTTAATAGGAGTATCAGCTCCTCTCTGTTGCRCTTGTTACCTGGGTATCTTTATTTTGCACCCAGTGAACTGCAACGAAACACAGAAACTGGCTGTCCCAGACCCTAGCTGGATGGCTGGGTATTAACTTGTCATGTTCCTCTTTGCTCTGAGATACTACCCTCAAGCAGATTTTTATTTAAAAAGAAAAGAAATCAGAAACTGACAAGTAAAGGTTTCTTTCATTAAATCTGCATATGCACGTGTAGTCATTCATGTTGATTCTCAGCTTGATTTCTTTAGCATATTTTCTAAAACTGTTTTGCCTGATTGTAAAAAGTAGAAATAACAGAAGGGAAAGCAGCATAAAGTAACTAGCCCAGCCGCAGGAGCAGTGAGCAGCCAGGGCAGGGAGGAACTGCAGAGCGAAACCACAGCCGGCACTCTGACATGCCGTAAGTAGAATGAAGATGGTAGCACTTCCTGCTCGGCCAGGCAGGTATCGCCCCTTCTTCTAACTTACCTTGTTTTGAGGCAGGCAGGAGCTGTTTAGCTCGTCTCATCAGGCTTCCTGCATGTGCTGGGTGGAGAAGTGCTGCAAGTGATGCACACAGCGAGCTCGGGGATACTGTTACTGCAGTCCTTGGTGGTGATGTCCATCTTCCCTGCTGGTCTGGAGCTGGTTTTRCAATATCTGCTTGTTGCAGGTGATCTGCTTCTTGGTAGCATCTTATCCAGTTCTCAGAAGTCTTGTTCCAGTGTGGCAGCCACTCTTTACATTCCTGTTTACTTATCTCCCTCTCAAAAGGAGGCCTGTTTGTTTGACCACAACGTTTTCCATTCTTCTTTCACTGCTCTTTTTCCCCTTACCCATATGGAATGGTCTTTGTTGCAATGTGCAGATAGTGCTATTGTCATATCTGGAATTGAGAGATGTCTTTGAACTATGGCCAGAATCAGGCCACGGTGGAAAAAGATGCCTCTCCGAAACAATATAACTGGCAAGTCTCTGGGCAGATTTATGGTGTGATCTTACCATAATATGAGAACGCACTAACCTCCTATTGAACTTGGTGAGAGGAAATGACTAATGCAAGGAGATAGCTGATACAGTATTTATATTGGACAAAAAGTCTAAACTATCTTAAGCCAGCTCTGCAGCACGGGAAGTGGAGTCTTTATTCRGTTTCCTACAGAGATGTTGTTAGACACTTTTTAATCAAATAATTCAGTAGATAAACCTTTACCTTTTGCCGCTGCCGCAAGGGTTATGTTTTATTTGAGCAGATTCTAGTTGTTTTGGTAGTTGCATGTATTTTAGCTGGGGGATGTGGGATGTGTGTGTATCAGTATACAAACACTGAGCATGCCACAAGACACTGAAAAAACATCCTGAAGTTCAATTATAAGATTCTTGCTCATAAAGATCTTTATGACTTTGGCAGGAATGCTCATCAAAGGACCTTGGCTATCCTTGTCTCCTTCTGAATTTCGTTATTGAAGACATTTTTTACATGTYTAGTACCTGTATCAGGTGCTGCCTCTCCCAGCTGTGTGTGGAAGCTCTTTTCTCTTTGTCAGAGGCTTTTGGGCTTTTACCTCTACTCAAATTCTTCACAGGGGAGAATTTTCACTGGTGGTTTCTGCAATGACAGGTTGACAAGTATATTAAATAGTTTAAAAATAAAAATGTTCAYAGCACTTTTAAATATATTTTTTTCCCCCTGTTCACAGATATCTATTTGCAGACCTTCCTGGGCATTTTGGTTTTGCGTGCTAAGTTTATTTGCTTCCTATCCCTGGTGGTTATCTCCTTTTACAGAGCAGTTTGTTCCTTACTCATTGTTTTGTCTCCTTTGAGGAAATTGCCAGGGTTTCCATTAGCTTGTAATGCTAATAGCTGTGACCTCCTTAGGTATCTGTCTGGTTGGAAGGGATTTTTTAATTTGTGGTAATGTAAATATGCCTTGCTTGCAGCCTGCAAATGACTTGTATCAGATAAGGCAGGCAGCAACCTAACCTTTCTGTGGCAAGCTTAAACCCTTATTGTGCTTCTAACAGAAAGGTAAATTAGAGTGYTTTCTGCCCTGCTAAGCTTCATGTGTCTGTTGTGTTGTTTTGGGAAGGTATAAAGTTTGAAGTCAGATTTTTGGAGTGCTAGGTGGTTCTTCCAAAGGCAAATGCTGTCAGAAGTGAGAGGTGTCTGCCTGCGGATCATGAGTTGCTGATTCAGAGCTGATCATCTCTAAAGCATGAATTCCTGCTGTGAGTAACCAAACTGCAATTGAGAAGGCATCTCCTTGTGGCCACGAGACAGGACACTGAGCTAGGTGGACCTTTAGCCTGACCTAATATAGTTGTCTTTTTATGACTCGTGCAGAAAAATCTCATGTCCTAGCTTGCCAAGCCAAAACGTGCTGATCTGGTGCCCAGCTTTGATGCTTTTGCTTTCTTCTTCAGGATGAGTCAACAGGCGAGATCACTTTCTACATGAAGGGGGCCGATGTGGTCATGGCTGGCATCGTGCAGTACAATGACTGGCTGGAAGAAGAGGTATGGAAACCCACGGAGAGGGAGGATTTCTTGGGCAAGAGCTTTTCCTGTGCAAGGGTGACATGTGCAAAACTACTGATGTTAACATACTGGGATGGATGTACCTGTTAAAACATCTGCAAGCTGAAAGATCATTGATACAACAATACATTGGATTAGCAGTCAAACATATGTGCAGTCATACTCCCTTTTAAAGCAGGGCAGGTGGCAATTTCGATACATTTAATGCAGCATAATTCCCATAGGTGAAATGAATTTTGCTTAAAATTGCCTGGCTTTCAAAATTTATTATGRGACTGATACTGCATTTGGATTTATTTTAAACTGAAGGGTCTGTTTAATTTCAAAACTACATTTGGTAGCTTTCTGCTGGGGTGATGTGTCTGCCCATTTAGCTATGACGTTGATGCAGACTTCATAGTAGGAACTTCCATTACTGATTTTCTACCCTGTGTTCATAGAGATAATATATTAGTCTTGTTTTAAAGATTTTTATGGCCAAAGATTGTAGGTCTTCAAGTCAAAGGCTTGCGTCCTTTCACTTACAGTCAGAGAAAATGAAATTAATGGAGTAGTTTTGCTATACTGATAGGGACATTTTTGTTTCTGATCACTGGGGTAGATCACTAACCCTTTCAGATCTCCTTCTTTTTTTCCCCCATGAGTTTATTGTGCACTTTATCAGATAGRCTCAAAGAGGTTGCTCAAATGGGACGGTTATTTTCTTAACCTGCTATCTGATATGGCGTATCTGATATGGCGATCTCTGCAAGGCTGTGCATAAATCATCTTCCTCGAAAAGCCGTTTATGGTCTGCAGCGCGRTTCCTCTTTGCAGTGCGGTAACATGGCAAGGGAAGGCCTGAGGGTTCTTGTGGTGGCCAAGAAGTCTCTGACCGAGGAGCAGTATCAGGACTTTGAAGTGAGTTTTTGTTTGTTTTGTTTCTCTCTTGTTTTTAAACAATTACTGAAGTGGTTCTTTGACCTCTCATGATAATACAGCCTCTCATCTTCCTTCTCCTTATGGCAGAACTGTCGTTCTTAAACATCTTGCGTTCATTTAATCAAAGCACTGTTTTGAGCGATATRTAAGAAACTGGACACTATCCAGGACCCTCTAAAACAGTTCAGGAATCTTCCCTTATTGTCCTTAGTGGTTATAAAGTTACAAATTATAAATTCACTCTTTGTTAGTCAATTTGTATTTTGAGGGGGAGATGAACTGGCTTTTAATTTTTATGTTTGCCTCTATGGAAACTGCAACCCCCCTGGATATAACCCAGCCAGGCTTCATAGGAATAGAGACTTTGTGCTTGTGGTTGGCTATGTGGGACCCCAAGCACAGCATGAATTTATTTACCCCAGGTAGGCAGAATTCAGAGGAGAATTGCTTGGTTGAATGCAGAAATATGATGGCTAACATGTTTATTGTCTTTGCTGGTGGGAAAAGTGCTAGTCATGAAAGCCACCGATAGACCTGTAGTGTGAGGGAGTCRTTTCCAGGCTTTCTGCAGGTGTCCCTTCAGTAACTGTTGTGCACTTTGTGCACTAGGACACAGTGTGCATTGACTGTCCAGCTAGTTCAGGATAGGGACAAAGTACCCCAAACTTCCTCAAATATTTTTAGCTTTGTTCTGTAACTCGCAGCGAGTGTTCCCGGGGCATTACAGGTGCCACCCTTGGGAATGGGGAGACTTGGGTGGTGCTGATGGTTAACCCTGTGCTCCACAGCAATAGAGAGAGGCTGCTTGAACTGCGAGCGTGTCTCTGCTCTGTCCTCAGGCTCGCTACGTGCAGGCGAAGCTGAGTGTGCACGATCGCTCGCTGAAGGTGGCCACGGTGATTGAGAGCCTAGAGATGGAGATGGAGCTGCTGTGCCTCACCGGAGTGGAGGATCAGCTGCAGACGGATGTCCGACCTACTCTGGAGACGCTAAGAAATGCTGGCATTAAGGTCTGCTTTTGCATAAGCTTTTCAAGTGGTTCAAGTGGTTGCATAAAATGAAACCTAGTTAGATCTATCCTGTCCCCTGACTGCAAGTTCTCATGCCGAGGTTGAAGCACCAGCTYTGCCTGTGAATGTGTTGGAGCAGCCGCCAGAGGGGGCCTGAGCCAAAAGAATGAGGAGCGGGGAGGCTTTTGTCCAGCTTTCCAGCCTTCTGCCTCCGAGTCTCCAACACCTWTAGTCCGAGCTGTGGGTACTGGTGAAGAACCAGGCATATTTCCTGCTTAATATTCCCCACTAAAAATTTGCCAGTCAGGTCATGGATTTGCAAAAGGAAAATAAGGCACAAAATGCTCTGAGGTGGACAAGAAAGAGGTAAATGCTTCTGGCTGTGGATTCTCCATTTGGAATCTGAAAGTGAGCAGAATCCTGAGCCACGCTACGGATGCAAAAGCAGGGCTGTTGTCTAGGGTGGGATAGGAAACAGAATCCAAATCTTTGCACGGGCTTCCAGAAGCGCTTTCTGTTTGTAGCCATCCCTATGGATAGCAGGGATTTCAGYGGGGAAGTGAGGGAAGCAGGCGGCTCCTTGGCACTGTCCCAGCCTCGTGCTCAGAGGCGGGTTCGTTTTTTCTCGCTGCCTCGGCCGGGCGCGACTCTCGCTCGCTCGCGCTGCCGTCCTCGGCCATCACCGTGTGTCCAGCAGGGAACTGCATGCAAGAGGTGAATCCACGCTGAAAGCAGCCCTATAATTTGTTACAGGAACCATCTTGTTGAGATCAAGTCTTCCAACCTCAGATTATTAAACAAATAGCTGTCGTCTTTCGTTTGTTTGTATGGGTTTTTGTTGTTTCTTTTTCTTTTATTTTTCTTTTCTCTTTAAGTTTGCTTAAATATTGTTGGGTGTTGTCCTAGAAGAATAAATACAGCAATGGAAAAACAAAACAAACTCTGATATATTTAAACTACTGAGGGAATTCCCTGCCAGATTGGAGGAGTATGGCTGCTGACACGGCTCTCTAATGCTCCCCACCCGAAGCACAAAATAAAAGGAGCAGTGTGTATGAAAACAGCCAGGTCTGTTCCAGGCGCACACATCAGCAGTGAGCTAACCTGGTTGCATCATCCACATTTCAAGCAGGGCCATGAGGGATCTCTGCAGCACGGTCTGCTTATTTCTGCCTGCAAGAAATAGCTGGGATGGGACACATTAACACACGCGGACACATTCCTTGGCTTGCARTTTGTGGAGTTTATCAGCAGCATCTTGAAATGTTGCAGGTGGAAAAATGTTTCACATAGTTGGTGATGTCGTTACATTTCAGTTTGTCATCTCTGTTGCCTCTAAAAGATCTGTTTTCTTTCATACATGAGAATTGGTTGTCCATTTTAAAAACAGAACTTCCTTTAAAAAGTTCAAAATGTGTATATATTTTAAGAATCCTTTTATGTGCCTGAACTGGCAGGTTATACTTCCAGATGTCCTGAAGGTGTGGTTGGTAAGTTTTGCATTTAATATTTTGAACACTTTTTTCAGGTGTGGATGCTGACAGGGGATAAGTTGGAGACAGCCACGTGTACAGCAAAGAATGCACATTTGGTGACAAGAACCCAGGACATCCATATATTCCGACTAGTAAGTAAAGCACATGTATCTCTCTCTCAAGATTTGCTCCAAGCACAGAATTTGGGGACAGGAGGGATACTGAGATTGTAACCATAGCCCAGAAGTAGACCAGTAGACCATGTTTTTTTGACCCAAATTTGGGTTTTTGTTTATCTGGCTGTAATCAACTAGCAAAACGTGCTACCTGCTCACACCACTCTYGCTCCTTTTGGGGCTGCTTTGTTTCCTTTTTTTCACCTCAACCCAGTCCTTCCACAGTTGCCATGTTCTCTTCCAGGTGACTAACCGTGGAGAAGCCCACCTGGAGCTGAACGCCTTCCGCCGCAAACACGACTGCGCGCTTGTTATTTCTGGTGACTCACTAGAGGTAACCTCCAAACCCTCCCGACTCTTGGTGAACGCAGCCTCAAAACACTATGGCCAAATTTGGCTTTTTAAAGGAATATTTGTAGCACAAATAAGCAGTGACACTTCTGCTCTCTGTTAATAGGTGTGTCTGAAATACTACGAGTATGAGTTCATGGAGCTGGCTTGCCAGTGCCCTGCCGTGGTGTGCTGCAGATGTGCCCCGACACAGAAGGCTCAGATTGTGCGCTTGCTCCAGGAAAGAACTGGCAAACTCACCTGTGCCGTAGGTGAGAGCCTCGCTCAGGAGGTGGCAAGGCCTCCGCTAGCATCTCCTCGGGCTCGCTCTTGTTTACGTATTAGGCAAAGAATGTTTGATTTCATGTGTATGTGGGCATTATAGTTATGCCTAATACAGAAAGATAGAAGAATGTTTTAAGCATGTAAACTGTTTGGTTTCTCTCTCTCTCTTTTTTTTTTTTTTTTTTTTTCCCTTTTCTTTTAAGGGCTGACTTCTGGCAGCTTAAGCTTGCAAGCAATTAGAGTTTGAAGCTAAAAAGAGATTTATGGGATTGTTTTTGGTTTTTATTTTTTGTTTTTTTTTATTAGCCAACTGCATAGTAAGAAATTTATTATGCTTATTTTGAAACTAGGACATGCCTTCAACTTAACTAGTAAAGGTTAAGGGACTCTGTGTGTCATCTTTATTTTTTTTGTTTGTCCATGAGTGAATGGTCCTGGGTCTTTTATAACACCTTGAAATGCTGAACTGTTGTTGTTGTTTTGGTTTTTTTGCTTTTTTATTTTTTTTTTTTTAGAGTGGTTGAAAAGATGAAGTTTAGCTCATCTGAAGTTTAGTTTGATGACAGGCATAAATATATGGGATGCTATCTTCGCAAAACGTTTAAACTTGATAAAGGAAGGTGTCATTACTAATATGTGAGGTTTATTTCAGCACTGCAAATAAAACAGTATACCCTACAAACCAGACTAGGTGGTCAGCAGCTTTGAGCTGCCCTATAAAAAGCTGCTTAAAGAAGTTAATTTCCTAATTTCTATTTAAAGTCTCACATTTGTTATTGGGTTTAATGTTTCTTCTACCATTATGGTCTGATGCAGAGGCCTTCGATGGGACTGCGAGTTGCCCATGTTTAACTSCCAATGTCCTTTACCTGTGCTCTGCCCCACAGGGGATGGAGGGAACGACGTCAGCATGATCCAGGAGGCCGACTGTGGTGTTGGTGTTGAAGGAAAGGTGGGATTATCTTGCACTTGATCACACCTATATGGCACTTTAGAAGTGGGTTTGCTAGCTACACTTAAGTGAATCCTCAGAAATTCATGCAAGAAGAAGGAACTACCAGACCATATGCTTTAACATAAAAAAAACAATGCAACTGTAAACTAGGCTACTGTTTAGTTGATCTCAAGGTCATTATTTAGTCTTGGAAGATTCCCTGATTTTGGACCTTCTTTTCATGATGTGCCAAATGATGGAACTGTAATTGTTCTGATAACATACTTAGTACAGGTACGATTTAAGAACTGGTTTTATTAGCGTCGAAAGCAACCCCAAAGTTAGAACTTGGGTTTGTGCATGGAGCTCCTTGGAACACAAGGACAGGGTTTGGAGGCCATGCAGAGATGCTGCTTGCAGTGAGCCAAAGCATTCCAAATGAGTGAACTTTTGAGCCTGAAAATTTGTGTTTAAACTGGACTTTATCATGGTAACATGCGTGTTGTGAATCATAATGCAGAGCGTTAGTTGTTTAGAGTCTGAGGCCAGGGATCAAATGGGAATTCTTTCCATAGTTTTGCTCTTTACTGAAGAACCTTGGTGACAGGCAGAAGTACTGAGGTAATGCTGTCCTCCACCTAATGCAGTGTAAATTTTCTTGGAAATTCTGTCCATGGTAGCAAAATAATAGCATGGTATTTCTTTGTTTTCAGTAATGAAAATGATCTCATTGTGCTTTTACTTACTCTTGTACATAGGAAGGAAAACAGGCTTCACTTGCAGCAGATTTCTCTATTACTCAGTTCAAACATCTGGGCCGTTTACTAATGGTGCATGGAAGGAACAGTTACAAAAGGTCGGCAGCTCTCAGCCAGTTTGTAATCCACAGGAGCTTGTGCATCAGCACAATGCAGGTAAATGGGACATTTCATATGGGYTTTTCCAATGGGGAGGTGAAAAAAGCATTAAAAAGCAAAGATTCTGCCTTTCAAATCAGGTGCGACTGTTTCTTCTTGAAATGTTCACGAGTTGGAACTTTAGATTGTTAGTTTGATCTGAAAACATGCAAGAAGGTTCTTGGTTCAGGACCAACATCAGCAACTTTCTCAAARCTGGGCAAACACAATTTTGCCTTAGAAAATACTGCGGTGATGTAGCATGTTTATTGCTGTTGTTCAGTGATGTTATGAAACACCTAATTGTATAGCAGGGCAATGTTTGTAAAAGAACAAGTGCCTTTCTTACAGGTACGTTTTAAGTTAGGTCCTCAAGCAAGGAGACTGCTTTAGCAACCGTCTGAAGAGGACCTGGCTCGGGCCCCGATGAGGTTGCCGAAGCCGCGGTCCAGCTTGGGGAGGAGTGTTCCCGGGAGCTGTGCCGGGAAGGTGCTTCAAGCACATACTGACTTTCCCAAGTGCTCATACAGCAACGTGAAAGCAGTCTGTTCCTCTGCATTTCAAAAGGAACCTGAGAAACAGATGTAGGATTTACCAAATTTCAAGCCCTGCTGGTGTGCAGAGCCCCAGTGTAGCACAAACGCAATTGCCAGTTGGCAGGGAAAGGTTAAGGACATTTTAGGAGGTTTGAGCCAAATTCCATTCTTAGCTGTGTTCACTTTAGTGAAAGATACAGTTAAGGACAGAAGTTGCTCTCTGGGAGTTGTTTCTACACCATAGTGTACTAATAAATACATTCTTTCAGAACTCTAAGACTTTTCAGTAAAATATGTTTGAGAAGTCTGGTTATTCCCTCTCCCCTTTTTAGTATAACTATGTTGGAGAAGGATGAGTAGCAACAAAAGGTTCGAACTCAGGAGACAGTCTAGGCTGCTCTGAGACACACATCTGGAAAAAAAAAAAAAAAGTAATTTCAATATCTGTCCAGAATTTATTCTTTAATGCTTTGGAGTTTGTGTTAGTGGGTGCTCATTCTTTTTACATTCTGAAAACATTATCTGAGGGTGAGGTGCAAGTAAATATGCACCTGACCTTCACAACATCTGCATGGCTTTGATCAAGTCAGTGGCCTTTGGAGGAAACTCTTTAAGTTCTTTTTCATGGAATTGAAGTTTTCCATGTTCATTTCTCCAGTGTTTGCCATTAAACATAGCTTTCATCCATGGTTTGCGTAGGAATTAAAAGAGATGATATTACATTCTTCTGTCTTCATTCCAGGGATTTGGCGATCCCACTGCAAGTACTTTCCAGTTTGAACAGAATATATTTTTCAGCTGTAACTTGTACTGCAGTACCTCATGCCTGAAATGCCTTTTTTTTTCTTCTTTTTTCCTTCTTTTCTAGGCTGTTTTCTCATCAGTATTTTATTTTGCTTCAGTTCCTCTCTACCAGGGCTTTCTCATCATTGGGTAAGAGCTCTTCTTTTATTAGTAGTGTGCAAAGCCTATGCATAATGAATAGATTTTGGCTGCTTGTCATGCAGGGCATGCCTGGCTCGGCTCTAGGCGTTTCACATGCTGCTTGGGAGGGTAGGTGTGATCCTTGTCTCTGCTTGACACAGAGGAGCACGATGAAGACACCAAGGCAGTGCAAACCCTTCTAGCAGCCTTCCCAAAAGGAATTGGTCTGGTTCGGAATAGCAGAGAGTAACAGGAAGCTGCTCTTCCAGGAAGAGGTCCTGGTGAGGGCATCCCGCAGCCTCTTGCTCCCAGCTGYGCTCACCCCAAACACCTTCACCTGGACTTGTCAACAGGAGCAGTGACTGCAGTGTAAAGTACACTGGTATTTCACTTGCAGTCACATAGTTTCATATGCTGTCAAGCACATAGTTAATTTTAAAAAGAAAAGGCACAACAAATTCATCCCTGCGCCCTTCTCACTGAAACAGCATCCTGAGCCTGAACTGTGGAGCAGCATTTGGGGTGGGATGGGTCTGTTACAGACTCCTTAATAAACGTTGCAATGCCTGAGTCRGTCATCCAGCTCTGAATGTTTCTAATCAAAAGCTATTCACAAAACAAATATTGTAGGTTTTTCCTATATGCAAAGCTGTGGTGTGATGAATTTGCAAATTTTTACAGTATACATTGTTTAAGATTTAGAGAGTACTCTTTCATTTTTATAGGTGTGTGTTTCTGTTTGCTCATCTAATCCTTAGATCATTTAGWGGTTTTTCACCTCCTTCCCAGGTACTCTACAATTTACACGATGTTTCCAGTGTTCTCTCTAGTCTTGGACAAAGATGTTAAGTCTGAAGTTGCAATGTTGTACCCAGAGCTCTACAAAGATCTTCTTAAGGTTTGGAAGATTCTTGGGCTTTTTTGTTTTGGTTTAAGATACTTGCCTTGATTTGGATTTTTTCTAGAGAAAGTTGAATATATTATCTGTAGATATGGAATTTTATCACACATTTTTCAACCAAAATTCTTTTGAAGGCAAACATGAGCTAACAGATACAAATTGATTCTCTTACAGTTTGTTGCTGAATGATGCATGAAATAMAATTTATTAGAAACGTCTGGGAAATAGAAGTTTTGATCTGTGGATTATTCTAAGGATTTAATATTACCAGTTTGTTCCAAAATAAAGGGGGAGGAGAAACTCAGACATTTGGCACTATCCTAAAGCCAGAAAAGAAGTACAGGGGAACTCTTCAAAACCTGCCTTGATGCACCCCTGTGCCACATGCTCTAGATGTCCCTGCTGGAGCAGGAGGATTGAACTAGATGATCTCTAGAAGTCCCTTCCAAACTCAACTGTTCTCCTCATCAACRAACTGTTGATGAGGAGAAAGGTTGTCACCTGGATGCAGGAATGAAAATCTGATTTATGGATGATCTAAATGGATCTAAAGACCTTTTTATGTGCCCTTTTTTGTTGGATTAGCATGCAAGAGGTGGGTTTTTTTCCTTAAAAAAAAGAAAAATGTATTTAATATTTGCCATAGAAATATCAGGAAGGTAGACTTTGTCCTTGGTGCATTTTGGTTTTCTGGTTTCAGTGCTGTTTTCTCCCTACTCCSACTCCCCCTGGAAAAATTTTTGAGTAACTGGGGTATGTGCCTTGGGAACATCTTTCTTAATTGAAGGAAAGGGTGGACTGAGTCTTCAACAGATCCTTCCCTCAAGGATTTCTGTTAAACAGATCCTTTCAGAACCAAAGCCTATTTTTCCAACAGCCTGAATAAGTCTCCATCTGGTTTCACTTGCATGTTGTCTCTGATGTCATAAACCACTAATTCTCCAACCATCCTTAGGCCTGGTTGAAACAGAGGGTTTTTTTTTTTTTTTTTTGTACTGGTAAAGCTCTGTTGGCTGGAGATGCTTTTTTTTAAAACCTGTCTGCCTCCAATATGATGTGATTTGTGTGCATGTGTATAGAAATATAATATTAATGTGTACATATATATGTGCATACACATATGCGTGCACATAATTCACAGCACAATGATGAGGCTCATGAGACATCTTTATATTGAATTAATTGTGTGTGCAGTAAGGAAGAGGTTGTACTGTACTGCACAAGCAGCAAGCATCTGAAGTCCCAGGCCTCCTTCGTGCAGCATGAAAAATGAGAATAAAGAGACAATGCTTCAGGGCTGGCTGTCTGCTTTTGTGGGTTTTTTTTCCAAGTCACCTCCAAACTCTCTTTTATTAATTGCTGGATTGTCCTGTAAGTGAATGTTCATAAAGTCCTACTGAGCTTTCTTTTTTCCTTCCCTAGGGGCGACCGCTGTCGTACAAAACATTTTTGATATGGGTCTTGATTAGCATCTATCAAGGTAAGAAATTAACTTCTATTTGTGCTTTTTTTTTTTTTTGTCAGTATTTACATACTGGACCTTCTAGCTTCTGTAGGAAGCTAAATAAGTCAGCTAGTTGTGCAACCAACACTGCTAGAGGCAACAATGCAGAAGTTCAAAGCTCTGTGTCTCCTCATACTGGGACCATCTTTTGTAATTCTGGACAAGTTCCTTTCAGTGCTTCCATTGTTCCATCTGTAAAGTGGAGCTTGTGACTCTTCCTTTCTTTGGAAAAATCTCTTCAGCTCCACAAGTGATATAGATTGCTAGTGCTGCAGAATACAGAATCTGTGGATTTGCATTGCCTTGTGTGTGTTATATAAACCTTGTCTATTAGCTGGTGAAGTTATTCAGGTTACTTCTAACAAAATACTGGAGTAGAGCTCAAAATCTTGGTCATATCCCTAACAGGCCATTGAAACAGTTAACCAAGTTATTTATAATGCATTCGTTTTCCAAAAGTAGAGATAGTAATTAGAGTGTATGTCTAAGAAAGCCTTTTCTTTCCAGTTGGTTTGCTTTTTAATTAAGTAATCATCTCAGTCACAAATACTTTATATTACTGATATCAAGGAATCATGGAAAATGGGCACATGAATGTGGAGCTGTAAAGTTAAAATGGTGATATGATGTTGTGACAAATTTTGTTGTTGTTCAAAACTCCTTTATCAACAAGAGTTGGAAAGAATGTGCCAGAATAAGCAGCTAATGCTAATTGWTTTAAACAATATTACCATCCTTAAGAACAGAGCAAGACAAGAATATAAAACTTACAGCATTATCCCCTGAAATCTAGTGTAGTAGAATGCCACGACGGGGATAGTGGTCTTGTGTTGCTATATAAACATGATGGCAAAGCCAAAGCATTTATAGAAAATTCACAAGCGGTGGAAATCTAAAGCCAGGGGGTGATGCATTGAGGGAAAGATTTCTTTTTGAGCTAAGACCACTATCTGGTTACAGTATTTGGTTAAAGTGACTTCACTTCTGATGTACTGAATAACTAGAAAACAGCAGGCCAAACAATTGGACTAGTTGCTAGCAAAGAAGAGCCTAACCGAAAGCTTGAGCAGCCCTAAAGTTTGGAAAGTTCACAGCTGGATTTGAACTTTGTGGCTCCAGCTCTAGTCACTTGCAGGTTTTGCCTTCCAAAACTTGCAGGTTTTCCCTTCCGAAACTAGCCTCATGTGATGGCTGTTGGTGCAGATTACTCATGCTCCTAACATGACTTATTTGTGCAGGTGGTTGTCCAGGCCCTTATGAGCCTCGCTGGCTAGCCAGAATAGGAGCATGAAACTGTGCATCATAAATAGAGCTGTAATGTACCCTTCTAATAGAGGAAAATGTACACAGGAGAGAATTTGCCCACAGTAATGCAAAAAGAGGTTAGCTTACATTCACTGAGCTTTTCAGCGCCTTACTTCCATCTGGGTAGCATGGTATGTTTTGGAAGTATTTGATATCTTTTAGCCTCTAGTGACGGATCACTTTGCTAGGAGGATAAAGTTTCATGATCTTAGAAGTCTCCAATTGCCAAAATTGTGCACATTAATTTCCTATCTCCATGTGTCTATAAATCTAATAGCGTTGTAAAAGTCCGGGCACCTCTGYGATACCTTTTTTCCCATCTTCTCATCAATTCTGTCTCCCAAATAGTAACTGTTTCATTGTAATCAAACCCAGCAGGTTTCATAAAAAACAATTCTGGGATATGAGTGTTTTAGCCTTTCTGAGATTAGCAGTGGGTTTTCTGGGATTAGCAGTGGGTTTTAGGGCTTAGACTGATAAAATATTGAAACATTCTGTCCTCCGGCAGGTAGCATCATCATGTATGGAGCGCTGCTCCTCTTCGAGTCGGAGTTYGTCCACATCGTTGCCATTTCCTTCACGTCCCTGATTCTCACCGAGCTGCTGATGGTGGCACTGACAATCCAGACGTGGCACTGGCTCATGATAGTGGCTGAGCTGCTTAGTCTCTCCTGCTACATAGCCTCACTGGTCTTCTTACAYGAGTTTATTGGTAAGGTTAAATGCGTCGCCTTCGCTCCAATCAGTTGTTTAGTGACCTGAACAGAAGCAGCACTGTAAGGGCATGAATTGAGCCTAAAGGCTCTGATGAAGTCAGCACAGTTACAATTACAGTGGTTCTGAAAGGAATAAAGTCTCTTTGATTTGGAGGCACTTTAGAGATCGTTCCTGCTCATAGCCAAGCACTAGAGGAGGTGAAGATGGTCAGTAAATTATGTGTTGCCCAGGAAATCTCGCCCTTACTCTCAGAGGTCTACCACATATAAACTGTCATTACACTAACGGTCTTTGTTTCCCTGTGGGAACTGAACTTGAATCTGAAAAATATGAGCCCGTATCGTTGGCTTGAAGGGTTTCGGCTTTTAACTGGGTGAAGTGGCTGCCTTGTAAAACTTCCTAATTCTCTTTGCTTCAAGGGGACCMTTCTCTTACCATGTTTGTTTTCCCTCCCCACTCCCCTACCATTTGTGTGAAACAGAGTTAATACTTCTCATGTCCCTTGCAAAAGGAAATAGGATGAGGAATTCCACGTTCTCCTCATAGCTGGCAAATTCCAGCTCGCTAAAGGTTGTTTTACTGTTCAGTCAGGAACCACAAGATGTCACTGCTAGTTCCATAAAGCTCTGCGAGCTCTGAGGACAGTGAGGATRACTTCCCAATGCGATATATCTGAATCTTTTGCATATGAATATACTGGCTCCATTTTGAATGAGCCCTCCAGCTCTTCCTGCATTGCTTCCAAGATACCATAACTGAATGATTTGCTGGAATACCAGGCATGCAGAAGACAGGAACCCCCGGAGTCAGCTCGCAAGCAGGGCATTTAAAGAAAGCTCACTAGTGCCAGAAGATGGATAGCCCTGTTTCATACGGGGCTTATGTCTGTGTAACTTGCCTGTGATGAATTATATGCCCTGCTGGAATCTCATGAGGACTGTGTATGTAGAAATCTTGTGTCTTTGGTGAAGGAGAAAGAGAGCAAGGAAACAAACTATAGGGTTTTTGAGCTTTTGTGCATCTGGAAAGGTGAGGCTGCCAGATTATATTTCTCTCTCAAGCTTCTCCCAAAACTACTTCCCATTTTCGTTGATTTTTGTGCCTTTTTTTCCCTCTCATTTTTTCTCCTCTTTTTTTAAACAGATGTTTACTTCATTGCAACCCTGTCGTTCTTATGGAAGGTGACAGTCATCACCCTGGTGAGCTGCCTGCCCCTCTACGTCCTCAAGTACCTGCGGCGAAGGTTTTCTCCCCCGAGCTATTCAAAGCTCACGTCATAGGACCACTGTCCTTGCCCACCASAGACAAATCCTGCACATGGCTGAGAGACGAAAATCATGTAGTTGTAACTATGCTGAATGCGTCTGGTATTTGCGTAAGGATCTCATGGTAATCTCTGTTATATGCTGCTTTATTGAAACAGACTTAACAACTGCCGTGAACAGAAACTTAATGGGARYTTTTTGAGAGTGAAGGCTCTCGCTACTTCATCCAATTTTTGTCACTTTTGTTCAACTTATTTGAGGTAAAATGCATGCAACTGCAATGATGATTGGTTTCTCATGTGTGATGCAGAGTATCCGAAAGCTGCTATCTGACCTTGAAGTTTATATGTGATGAAAATTTTAAGTTACTTTTTAAGTATCTGTGATGTTCCTTACGTGGTGTTGTGTTGTTTTATATTATTTATCTTTTTGACTCAAGTAGGTACATTCTTTTTCTGTCTCGGAAAATCTTTACTGTAGGTGATGCACTGTCTTGCTGACAGGCAATTCCTGATTTGTGCCATGCCATTCTCCCAACATCAGATCTATACACATTTGAGAATTTAAGCCTGTTCAAGATTTTTCTTCATTTGGACTGTGGTCAGTCTTGTGTTTTTGGTGGTATCCAGCCATTGATAGAGGAAAATTCAACCCAAAGTGAAGAAAAATCCCTTTTGTTTAGCTTTTGTGCTTCCTGTTGAAAGGATCTGGTGACATAACAACTTTACTCTCTGTTTATTTGTATAGGAGAAAATTATCTAAATTAAAAACCCCTGTTGGAAACAAATTTGCAGCTGATCAGCCTTAAAGTGTGTTGACAACGTGAGAAGTGTCCCRTGCGGCTCTGCAGACAATGCAGCAGACGTGTCTCGAATCCTTGGAGACCGAAAGCAAAGGTCAGGGAGCTGCTGCTCTGCACAGCTACACAAAGTCTGTTTCCTGTTAGGATGATACAGTGAAGATGAGCCACAAATAAGCTGAGGCGCTCCTASGTGGATGATGTTCGTGACACGATCTCTACAGAGAGGCAGTTCTTGAGAACTTGCKCTAAAAATCAAGCTTGGATAAGAAAGGCAGCATGGAGGCTGTATCACAGGTATGAGGCCAGTGTGCAGAGCAAACTAGATTTATTATTTTTTTAAGCTTCAAAATACTCAGTGAGTGTGCCATCCTGGGCCCTCTCAGTGGAGCACCAGCTTCTGTTGCCATTGCTGCAGGGGTCTCACTGTCACAAGCAGCACAATACCATGGGAAAAGCTCTCTTATGAAAATTGGGGTGGAAAATGTGAGATTTGTTTTAAAAGGAGAGATGGAGCCTCTGTTTGACCCATAGTGGCACATCTTGAATTTGCAGACCTAAAAAGCTGTGTTTTTTGTGGCTAGTGTGTGGCAAGTGCTTTAARGAAGGCTTTGCACAACATAGCCAATGTTCTAAATTGCTAAATTTATTTGAGTAAATATCAACGAAGAGGTGAAGCAACTTCCAAAAGATCTGGAGAAAAACTGGAAAAATTCATTGTGCTTTGGCTCAGACTGAGAGGAAGGGAAAAGTCATACACCCATACACCCAGTCTTTGGAGGAGAGGGTTTAGCTTTCCTTAAGAAACCTAGAGAGTAAACAGCAGTGGTGTCAGGGATGGAGGACCAAAGGGTGCCATCTACTGCTGCTGAGAGACGAAAATCATGTAGTTGTAACTATGCTGAATGTGTCTGGTATTTGCATAAGGATCTCATGGTAATCTCTGTTATATACTGCTTTATTGAAACAGACTTAACAACTGCTGTGAACAGAAACTTAATGATAAATGGGAGTTTTTTGAGAGTGAAGGCTCTCGCTACTTCATCCAAGTAGCAAGATGAAGCCCCTCTCTTCAGGGAAGAGAGGCAATCAAGTCCATACAGGTGATAGGTGATGTCACCTTTGGGRGTGGAACTTGTGCTTTAGATGAGTGTGGATTGGGAGCTGTTACAGTCAAAAAAGGCTGGTTTCAGTGGGGTCCTCTTTGTGTGCTCAATTTAGAAAGTTATGTTTCAAAATCCTAGAGGAGTAAGAATGGCAAACCCTTAGATCTCAAAGAAGGGCTTTTCTTTTGTGCTGTCTTCTGACGAGGCTCTTTTGTGGGGTCCTAATTCTAAGCAACCACCCTTATAAACACCCTGACCACTAGGGACACTTTGCTAATATTCAGTATACATCTTTTCAGTAATGATTTTAAACCTTGTCTGTCTGTCTTTTCTAAACTTTTCCAAAAGTTTCAAAGACCCAAATCTACCCTTTTTACTAGTATGCATGAATTGGGAAATGCCCTGAAAGTCCTGCATTTTTCAGTGGCTTATCTGGCAGAGGAAAGCAGGGCCTGAGGAGCCCTGTCATGGGCGAGCAGGGCCAGCAGCCCCGTGTGGTTTTTGCCCCTTTGCTAAAAAGGTTCTTGATGTCATCTTTATTGTGACTTGCTGCAGTTTCTGGATAGCATCAGCCTAGCAGATTACTCTGGATTCCCCAATCAATATTTGATTTAAGTAGATTTGAATATAACAGTCAATTTTTATTTACTTATCTATCTATCTATTTTGGCACTTTCTTGTGACAGACAAGTCAAGTCTTTCTTGTCCTTTGGAAAATACATTACATACATCTTTATAAGAGCCCTGTCCCTATCTATTGTGTATTAGTAGTTAAATGTTCTGCAAGAATAACAGTGCCATGCTACTGTATGTAAATATTTGAGAAGTATATATGGTAGAATTCACTGTTTCCTGAAGTCAATACAGTTTACACTGAGTGGACCATATTTGCAAAATACTAGCTTTTACCAAGAAAGGGAGTGAATTGTGATTTCAGTAATATTTATTGAATCATAACCTTAATATGGAACTCATATTTAGTGGCATTGCTAGTAATCTGTAGCTGTATTTTGGGGTAGGGCTTATGTTTCTTTGCAGCTAGTTTTTTGCACAAGGTTGTAAATCCAGGAAGCAATTTCTCTCTGGGCACACATTGCATTTTTTTTAAGCAATCAGAAAATTAAAACTACTATCTAACAACCATAAGGAATGAGAAATGATTGTTGTTTTTTATGCTTAGCACTATCTGTAAACTATTTCCCTTAAATTATTTTAAAAATGTTTTTAAAAGCAAACTTCAATGCATATGTTCATACTACACCTTGGAATAAACGTATTCTTTGCTGGAAATTAATTGCATCTTTTTCCTCTAGTGTGCTCCACACTTATGCAGAGTGAAGCACGTTGCCTTTTCTGCATAATGTCGTGTTTGTTTGTAGAATTGATTTTGTGTTCCTGTTGCTTTTGTTTCAGTATTTGGTGTACTGTAGCAGTTCATACAACTTGTGTGCTTTGCAACCACTGTGGATGATGCTGTGGGACAGCAGTGAATGTCGCCTATGGGCCCTTGCTCCCATGGCTGCTTTAGGAAGGTGTCTGGTTGGTGCTTTTCCTCCTGTGGCTTGTTAACACATAGGTTTTGTGACAACCCCTGTCCTGTTCTTCATCACTGTAGTATTTCAAGGTTTGCTGTCACCTTCTCTGTTTTTTCTTTAACTGTTATGTGTTGCCTCCCTTCCGTTGCTCACACCTGGAAGTGCCGCCAAGCTTGTCCTGTTCGTGGTGGTTTTGCTCAGCTCCTAATGCAACTGCAATGTGATACATATTGTTCAAAAGCATCAGCCTAAATCTGCACAGTGTCTTATCACCGTTGGGTTGGTGAGTGATCAGTGAGGTCCCTGATGTCCTCTCAGCATTGAGAAATATGTGCCGAGAGCTGCAGCTCGACCAAACTGAGCAGCACCAAGCCCCTTGCTTTGCTGCAGTCTACTGAGCTATTGCAATTAATGCCATGATGAGCTCTTGCTCCCTGCAACTCCCAAGGGAAACCTTGCTATAGGTAGGCAGGGGTTGTCGAGGGCCCTGCCCAGTTAGGTGTGTGGATCCCTAAAGCTTGTGTTTTGCTTTACTTTCCTAAAAAGAGCTTCTCCACCTTAGTTTGCACATGCAGTGCTCTCGAGCAGGTACATGAGCTACTAGTTGCATGCATTTCACCCTCACGARTCCTGTGCACACAGCTGTCTCGGTGGCAGTTAACTCATCTCCACCGCTGCATGGCTAAGGGCCAACCCATTTCCCACTGGAGGAGGGACAACTCGCAGGGGGAGGTGGATGGGCAATTTCATTATTTATTTAACTACTGCATAATTAAGTCTTTGATTTGCATGAAATCCTGGGTTCTACAGCTTTGCCAATATGGTCCATTATTACTGCCTACTACAACTTGTGTACTTATATGCCTTTCAAAATATTTTTAATTGTTAAAATTGTTTTACAATGTTAATTTGATTTTTAATTGGAGAAATGGATTCTGGTGTCAAAATGATATTTACTTGTGATGCCAATGTTTTGTACCTGTCGTCTAGTTAAACAACATGTAAATATTCTTGATTCAAGAGAAATATGAATGCCAGCTATTTATTGTTCTGTGGAGTTCTATGTTGCAGATATGTAAGAATTTAAAAGGGAATGTTGTAAAACAAGGTGGGAAAAATAAATTTTATGCAACTTCTTTATTTCCTTCATATGTATCATGTATGAGGCACCTGAGCTAATCGTGGTGCAGTCAGTCCAAGAGGTGCTTGGCAGGAYTGAAATCTGTAGGTTAATTTGCCTTGTGACTCTTGCTTGGCTGACTAGGAAATGCACAACTGAGCAATGAGCAGTAATTTCTACTGGTCAGCACAGACCTGTGATGTTGTGAGAGAGAGAAAGGAAGTTGGGAGCTCTGTGTGTACAAAGCAGAGTTTGGAATGACAGTTTTTGCTGTCCTTGCTCATGACCCAGCTCCCTGCAAGGTCACTGGGGTCTTTCCTGCAGTTTGGTGAGGTGGAAAGCTCTGGAGAGAGCGGAGTGTGGCCATGGGAAGGCTCTCATCCTGCCTGGCTCCTTCCGTGCCTTTTTGCTCACGCTCATGTGCTCCCAGACAAGTTGCTAGAGACAGTTGCGGCCCCAGGACCGTGTGAATTTGACCACTAGGTGGAACTTCAGCCCTGGGATTGCCCGTCGCCTTTCTGCGTTTTCTAGAACCAGCTAGTCCCAGAGCACCCAAGTGTCCCAAGACCTTCAATTCACCTCACCTCAAATGGAAACTTCAGTTTCAGGAGCCTCAGCTCATATAGGAAGATACTGCTCAGATTATCCTTATGCTTTTTGCTAAATGGTGTACCCTCACTTGTGGAGAACAGAGCTGGTAATGCCAGAACTCGCTGGTGAGAGTTAGAAGAATTGGGCCTTTCACTTGAAACGTATACGTGCTGCTTCTGGAAAAAACAATGATGCAATATCATTAGGAACAGCTATTTTTAGGATGTTCTATTCGTTGGATTTAAGCAGTGTAACTTGCTTTGCTATAGTCACAGCAGTGATGGATCTGATGGATTTGGCTGACAGGGTTTTATGGCAGAAGCAGCGGGAAGAGGAGGGAATTTGCAACTGAATATTCTCCAAAGGGAGGACTTCAATAACATTGATTCTGAGCATAATGCAATAATTTTCTTTCAATGCAAAATGTAATAGTTATAAACATTCTCAAGGAAAAAAAGCCAGGATCAGATAAACTAATTCTGTAACTTGGTAGACAATATTCAGCTAAAACAATACTTAAAAACTATATTATAAACTCAGCTAAAATCATATCAATTTTTTTTTGTTTAATTTGTATGATTTGGATTATTTGGATGATTATAATCTTTTAGATTAAGATACAGAAGCCAGAATATTAACCTCTTTCATGCTTAACAAATTTGAGTGGTGGGGAGAGGGATAAACTAGCTAATGCAAATGTTCAACTTTTTTTTTGTGATGTTGTGCACTTCAAATGAATGCTGTAGTCTCCAGAAATTACAATAACAGACTTCACTCCCAAGTGTTACCAATTTCCCATTTTAAATGGATTACATAAGTCCTAGTTAGTGGTTCTTTTAATTTATGGACGGTTTCTTTTTAATGGTGAAAAGTGTAATTAAAAAAAGCTAGAAATAGTTTTTTCTAAACTCGCTTTGGAAAAGGAAGGAGAATTTCTGCAATTTTTTTTTTTCACCCAAACATTGCATAATAGTAGAAATGTCAAAGATTTCCGTGGGTTTTAATTTCATTCTTCATGTGGCTGTGGTCATTCAAGAAGTTTGAACACTGCAGGAGTTGGCAGATTTTTGGAAGATCACGCATCCCAGGATAAGTTTTCAGCCTAGGCTTTACCAAAGAATGCCAGTGGCCTTATTTTTCTCAAGTTGTGGTTGTATTATACACTGGTGTCTTTTTTCTTTTTTTCTTCCTTTAAGAAAAAAAAGAAAAAGAAAAAAAAGAATAGGTGATGGCTGGTCACTGAATGTCTTACGGCTTTGTGCCTTATGTCTTTCATTAAAACATAGTAGCTTCTCTTTAGTTTAAAATATATGCGGAATCAGAAAAGCTTGTTGATATGCCCCCTGCCTTTTCCTCCTGATTTTTCTCCTAATGACAGCGGTATGTACAGCATTCGATATCATCATCTATCATCACCAGYGCTCTTCAGCCGAGGGCGCCCGCTCCCATGTCTCACTTACGAAGCATGCACCCAGGAGTCGTGACAATATGGAAAGCAARATGAGCAGCAAAAAGAAAATATTAGGCCTTCTCCACACTTAAAATATTGCACGCAGTCTGGTAAGTGCCTCCTCTTCAGGTCTTTCCTCTATTCCTCATGTATATTCTCCTTGGGTAACCTCTATTCAAGTGTCTCCTCTTCAATTTGGAATGTGATTGCAGGCTTTTTTTTTTTTTTCAAAAAAGGAAGAACTCCGTATAATAGTGACTGACAGACCTACAGATGTAAAATTGTTGTGGGTTGCATCCATCTTGCAATGTGAATTTCAGGTCTTAACAGCATCTGTGCTACATGGCTGTTTGCTAGAGCAGCAAGTTGTAGGAAAACTGTGGCGAGAGCTTTGCTGCAGCGACAGAGGTGCAGAACAAGCAAAAGCTCCACTGAGCGTGATCGCCCTTACTTGCGGCATTAAATCCTACCCTGGCACCTATCAAAGGTCAGTGGTGACCCTGACAGGAGTAAAATGCCTGTTTAGATACTGGGGCTTCCTTGGCCCATGAGCTAGTGTTTCCTTGCCCTGCAACTCTTTGGGTGGCRTGGAGCGCTCTCGATTTACATGCTGAATCTCCGGGTTTCTGCTTCTTGTAATTAAAGACATAGATGATGAGCAAGTTGCACGATCTGGCCTTGCTCAGAGTGTCCTTCCCGCTTCTTTTTCTCCCTTTGTGGCCCAAGACCTAACTCTTGGTAAGTGAGTGCATTACAAAAAAAAGAGCTTTAAAATCACGACATTCCCACTTGAAAGCCTCCTTCCCTTGGCTTGTTGCAGCTGTGCACGTAAGGAGGAATATTGTGTGCTCTTCAGCGGCTCTCGTAGAAAGAAGTAGTAACAAGAACAATCTGTGCAAAAGAATTTAGCGCATTAAGGAGGGGGGTAATAGTCATTCTCATTTGTCCTTTTATGTGAAACAGATTTTATTTTAAATGTACACTCTGAGTAGCTTAACTACATCCAGAAACTTGTTTACCAGGGTAAAAGTAGAGCTGCCTGCCATGTAAATTAGGGCCTGAACGGAGGTGAGTGATGGTGTTGCAGAGCTGTGCTTAGTCAGCCCTGGCTCCGGCACCTTGTTGGGTTGTGCGGAAGGGCAGCGCCTGCCATCCAGCGGGCCGGGCACGTGCTCGTGTGCTGCACGTCCCACAAGCTGTGTCCCAATCCTGCTCCAGGAGGTGTGTTGTCTGCAATGAAGTGGAGCTACCTTGTGCTAGAGACMTGGCTCTTACGTTTTTAGGGCATGTCACTTCTGAGTCATTTTGTCTCGGGGCAGATTTTACCGGTGTGTAATTTGCCAGAAAGTGAGGCAGGCTGCGACTGATCAGAATGCCTCTTTGAAGTGAGAATAAGCCTCGCATCAATGAAAGCGTCATGTAAAATGCCACTGATGCCATGTCATGGGCTTGATGAAGCACAATACCTATTTCGATAATAATGATGCAACAGCCCTGAAAAGAAATGTCACTTGGTGCCAGGGCTCCCGCTGGGCAAGCAGTGCTGTCCGCAGAAGCAGGATTCCTTTGCATCACTTGTAAGTTTGGAATCGAGGATTTGAATAAAAGGCACATTTATGAGGACGGGCATGGGCCGTTGGTGAGGGCCTCTGCTGGACAAGGTCTCCTTTCTGGCCGGGCGGCTCGGCTCGCAGTGAATCACTGCGTCAGGCCGCCGCCGTTGCCATGGCCGCAGCGCGGCCCGCGCGGCTGCCGCTGCCATCCTTGCTCAGGAAGGCCCCTGTTACCACCTTGTGCTGCCTTTGATCATGTTCCGAGAGCTAAACAGGATGGGACCTCTGAGGAGAGAGTTGGGGCTCGCAGAGCAGCGCCGTGCTCGCAGATGGGCTCCCGGCACTGCCAGCAAGGGCTCCCTGCAAGGTAGGATCT